CTTTGTTTTAGCATAGATGAGTGGGTGTCTTGGTTTGAAAAGACAGGAGTCTGTGAAGGAAGGCAAAAGCCTCCTGTGAAATGGAAAAGGTAAACACCCTCCCTCCCAGTTGGCGCAATTTTAAAAAAGGCTCTCGGGCAAAGATATGGGAATGGGAGTAACAGTTTTTTACTAGGAGAAAAACTAAATAAAAATAATAATAATAATTTAAAAATTAGTACAAACGAAACTAGTGATGGAGTCAGAAACCTGACACCCTGAGGAGTCAGTGTTGGTAATATCCAGTTAAATGGTGGCTGCTCCTCCTGGAGGGGCAGATGAAATGCTGATGAAGTCGTGATCTCTAGAAGATCTCTAGAAGGGTGGAATCTTCTCTGAAGGTCTGATAGTAGTTGGGCCTGGTCTTCCTCTGGGAATTGAGCAAAGAGGGCTGCTTCTCTGGGAATCCAGCGAAATGGCTGACCAGTGTCTCAAAAATGCTGATTTTATGCAGGTAGGAATGCTTGGCTCCTCCCTCTGGGTGGAGCATCTCACCATGGGATGATGGAACTTTACCAGTCATGCAGTGAATCATTCAATGGCCCATTAACAGAAGATATCTCCCCTGAGGGAGACATTATTCTTGGAAAAGATAAGAAAACTGCCCCACCTCCAACAGATGGCAATAGAATACATGTTTATTTTACAAGCCAGGACAGTAGGTGTTTGAAGAGCACTTGATTCAGACCGAGATTTGTTTATTTTTTCATGTATTCTAATGAGTGAAAGGAAGCACCAATCTGGGGAAATGCTGTTGCTTCCATGGGGTCTGAAATGGTGAGGTGTTAGAACCCTGGATGCTGAGAGTTTCAGACTTTCTGTGCTGACAAGCACTGGCCCCCAGGAGAACTCTGCATTTGACCTGAGGCTGCGGTGAAGTCTTCCAAAATTGAATGGTAGAACTGGGATTGTGGGTGTGAAGTTTGAATAGAGGTGTGTGATATCACATGGTGGAAAACTTAGAATTTAAGGTTTTAGAATATAATATCGATATAAAGCAAGATGGAGGTTTTAGGGCAGTGGCTGGTCCTCCTTCACCTTCTTCTCCATGGGCTTTGGTGGTTTTGTGTAATTGGATAAAAAAGTTCACATTGCAGGGCATGGGTGATTGGTTATTGGGTTAAAAGAAAAATAAGTGTCATTTCTTCATTAGACAGTTTATCCTTAAAAAGCCTTGTAGAGAGAGAGACAGGGCTGCATTTTTAGTTTGTTAGAATGAAATGCTGCAGAACTCAGGGTTTGTGAGACTGACAGAGATAAGAATTAATAAATATCTCAGTCCCAACAAGAAATACCCTCTCACACATTTAATCCTGACCTTAGCAGAAAAAAGAAGCAAAGAATCCACAGTGAGGGATTTGTGGTTTTTTGGTTTTTGCCTCCTTCTGTAGATCTTGTCCCTGAATTTGCTGAGATCAATAAGACAAACCCAAACTGCGTGGTTCTTGGAGATGCAGCAGAAAACTTCACCTATGCAAACCTGAACGAGGCTTTCCGACTTCTGATTGGGATGGAGAAGCCTGTTTTGATCTCCCTTGGAAAAGGGTGAGTTAAGCTCTGTTTTTTCCTCAAGTCTCTGCATTTTTTAATGACATCTTCAATGGAGGCCAGAAATCAGTGTGGGCACTCCCAGTACCAACCCCTCAGTTTTTAATCTGTGTGCCTGGACTGAGAGTCTGATCTGATCAGGTGCCTGACAATGAAGAGGACTTCTGGTGCTTTAAGAGAGCCTCAAACCCTCCTAGGACTCGTGGAAAGTTTGGATTTTAATATGTGTGACCCCCAAGTGAGTGAGTATTTAGTATCTCAGAGGTGAGAACTGTTGGTTTAATTACTGCCTGTAGCCACATGTTCCTCTCTGAATATAAATTATTTTTCATAGTGAAAGAAACCCAAAATTTCCACAGGCCATGCTTGGGTAAAGGGCTGTTGGTGCAAGTTTGTGATGCAGTTTGATGCTTTTGAAATGGCAGATCAATTGTTTTGGTAGTTTTAATATTAGACAGCATTTTAAATTATTCTCTGTCCGTCAAGGGTAAATTTTGACCTCCTGTTTTCACACAGAGGAAAAGATCCAGTCAGGGAATTGGAATGTTTTCCTGCAAATAATGAATTTAGAGGTATTCTAAGATTTTAAACAGGATGTTATTAATTCCTGTGCTGAATAATGACAAACCCCAACAGGAATATCAGGAGTTATTCTTATCTGTTGTGTGATGCATGGGTTTAAAAGAGACTATGCATGTTTATCTTGGGGAAAGTGCAGTGACAACTTTGCTCAGTGGTTCAATAGACTGTAATGGGCATGAAACCCTTCTTAGTTTGTGGGTTATTGATCCAGCTGGGCAGAACTTATCAGTGAGAAGGAGCAGTTAAATTCATTGTGCTGCCTTACCTGACACTCTAATCCTCCAACAGGGGTGAAAAATCCTTACTGTTTCTCAGAAGGATAAGAAGAAAATGTTGAGCCAACAGGAGAATGGCTAATGCATAGAAAATAATCAAATTTTGTGTTATGTAATACCATATTTCAAAATTAAGTATAGAATCAACCTTTGCTTAGGATCTGTATTGTCATCAATGCAAAAATGCTTTGTACCCTGTACATGTAAAAGTATTTATTTGGTCATTCAGTGATAGAAACAGCTCTTTTTATTACTTCTTTGAAATATTGCTTTTTTGTTAAAAAATAAAGATTTTGGGATATTCAGAGCTCAGTTTTCAACAAGAGCATATTGTTTTTTAATGGCTGATCATTGAGGTAATGGGAATACAAGTGCTGAGTTCTCTGACTCAGAGAAGGAAGATTTTAAATTATAAGAACTGCTCTCCTGACTGGAGCAGCCTCATGGATGCAAAGGGCCATCTACAAAACCCAGCTTCATTTTCAACCTGCAGAACCAGCACAGCTGGGTGGACCTGAGCAAGGTGCCTTGGTCCAGCACCTTGGTTTTGGTAGAAGTTTTAGTTCATTCCATGGAAAACAAAAGTGTCAGAGTCACTGAAGCAGAATGCCCTGCTCCTGGAAATGGAGTGATTTACATTTAGCATCTGTTTTGGGCTGAGAGTGGGAATTGGCTTTGTAATTTCTTCTGTCATGCCACTGTCAGAAAATTAAGCTGTTTACGCCAGACTATAGAAGGTTAATGGCTGTTCTAGCAAAGGTCAAGTGGTCATTTTAAAGGAAGGCTATGCTGAATAATCGAAAATGGCAGAAGGATAAGGCATAAAATCTTAGCTGACTGCCCATCCTACCCTTTTTCCTGTCATATAGAAACCTGATTTTGCTCTGCCTGGAGCTTGGAAGACCTGCATGAATGTGAATTACTGTTCCAGAAAAATTCTCTAAAGAAACCTTCTAATTCCATGAGCTTCCTGGCAGTGGGAGCATTTTTAGAAAGAACAACACTCAGCTTGGAGGGTTTTTAGCCCTGATAAATAGGGTTTGGGAGGCTGAGGCAGCAGTGATGTCTGGGGTGTCCTTGCAGACACACTGAGGAGGGTTCCAGCTGCTGGGCCAGGGCTCTGTGTCACTGCAGTAATGCACAGCCCAGTCCATCCTGCTCTGAGCACACTGAAATCCCTTTGAACCACTGAAGCTGTTCCCAGATGGGCATCTGGGATCCTTTCCCCCTGCATTGCACAGTCCTGAGCCTGTCCTTTCCTTAACTCCTGCTGTTAAACCAAGACCTGGCATTTTCTGATTACTTGACTTTTTATGCAGCCATATGGACACCTATAAATGCCCAGAAATAATAAAATGTAGTTTCTTTGTCTTTAACTGCCAACGTTTTCATTTCATGGGAACTTTATCACTTTCATTTCCAGACGCTACTATAAAGAAACTGATGGTCTGAAACTTGATGTTGGAGCATATATGAAGGCATTAGAGGTATTTTATAGATGGAATTATGCTTACTCACCCTGTGCACCTTGTTACAAGAGTAACTGGCATAAATATGGGTCATCTTCTGCAATTACTCACCTTGATGGAGGGACTTTCCACACATTGAAACTCATTTGCTGCATTCTAAAGATGGGTGGATTAATTTCTTTTCTGCCTTTGTTCTTTTTTTTTAATTTGTTTTATTTAAACGGTGAGCTTTTCCCATTTTGATGCCTTTATTGCAAATGAGGCCCTTGAAAGGAGGAGTCAGACAAGAAAAAAGTGGAACACTGTGTGCAAGATGCTCAGGAAAACATGAAGGTCCATGTTACCTGTTAGGCTTTTGTCTAGGAACAAGCAAGAAACAATTTATTTCAGCATAGCACTGATATTTAGTTGCAGGAAAATGTAACTTGTAAACTCTGCTTTTTCAAATGCAACTTTTCAAAACCCAAATTTGAAATTGGATTTTTCACTTCAATCATTTAAATCATGCCTGGTGGTTGAAGAAATCCTCTATAGCTTTTAAAGGTTCTCCAGTACTTTTGATAGTTTTATATAAAGGATATTTGTTACATCTCTAAGAGAGATGACCCTAACAAAATGAGCAGTACTGGAACAGAGTTTGAAGTTTACTCAGTAATAGAGAATGTGAAAGATTTGTACCTTGAGGTGTTTCAAGAGCATTTCCTGTCCTGCCAGAAAACTTTAAACACTACTATTATCCAAATTCTCTGATATTCACCTTCACCTGCTAATCCATTGTGTTATTTAAGGGCAAAAATCAATAATCACAAAGGTTTTACAACTGGAGTTACGGAATTGAACAAATCCTTTTCCAGTCACCATTTTTTGTGTTTCTGTCTCTTTTTTTTCCCCAGTATGCTTGTGATGTGCAGGCTGAGGTGGTGGGGAAACCAGCAAAAAGTTTTTTTGAGTCAGCCCTGGCAGAACTGGGAGTTCCACCAGAGCAGGTAAGGTTGAGGTGCTGTGCCCACGGGCTGTGCCACATATTTGTGCCCACTGGTGCTTTTTTCCTGCTTTGCTGTAGTTTTGGAAAGTTTGTGACTTCTCTCAAAGGAGAATATGACCAGACTCAAAGCCTGGCAGAGGCAGAAAAGGTGCCCTAATGCCTGGTAGTCTGCTTGGAGACTGGTGGCTGCAGGGTGATGGAATTGATCCCAAAATGTCATTTATTTCCTGTGCTGCCACACTGACTACCTGTTTTTGGTTTTTTTTTTAGTAAAAGGGAAAGTCAGATGTAAAATATTTTATCATTTTGGTGAATAGGAAGCACTGACTGACCCCAAAACCCCCTCCTGTATTTCTGGCTTTCCAGAAACATGCTGAATGTGTGGTGCTTCCTCAGTACAGCCAATTTTCCCCCTCTCTGTAGTTGTTCCCAGCTCCTCTTTATTAATTTGTTGTTCTGTCACACAGGACATAGGGATGAGTATGAGAAGCCTCACAAACAGCAATGAATTACAGCACAATAATTCCATCAGGGGAGTTTGGGTGACATTATAAACAACAGGAGTGAAGTTTGGGGTGGCTTGTAGGTCCCTGGAGCCTGGAGATTAAATTATGGCCCTGTAATTCAGCATGTGCTTGGGTTTTCCTTTATTATAGAGTGGGGAGATGGAAAAGACCTAGTGGTCCATCTAATCCATCTCCTTCCCCATGCAGGAATGTTCCCTGCTCCACAGTTATTAATGTTTTGTCCACAGTAGTTTTCAGAGAGCCAAACAACTGTCAGTGCCCTGGGGATGGTGTTCAGCACAGTGGGTCTGGTGGGAAGGCAGCTCTTCCTGAGATTTATCAGGATATTTCCCTTTTAAACGGCATCTCCTTATTTCTAGTTTTAGTCTAGTTAACTACCAAAATAACTGCTTGGACATTTTCTCCATCCAGTTATCTCTAGATTTGCTATCCTTGCAGGAGTTTTTTTTTTTTTACTAAAGTTGTGTTTTAGTGCTGCTGCTTTTTTTCTGTGCTCCCTTCAGTCTGTCCATATCTCCCCAGGAATAAGACAGCCCAGTCTGGACTATCCCTGGGACATGTCAGGTGCAGAGCTGCTGTCTCTAAATCCTTGCCCCAGGAAACAAATCTGATGTAAAGCATCACCAGGCTGGCAAAAATGGGGTGAGCCTAGGGAGTGGTTCCCACCAGCTTCAGGAATATTTGTTTTGGGTATAGAAGAGCAGGAATAGTTCCCAGAAAAGATTATTTACTCATTCTCTGTTGTTTGCCATGTCTGTTACTCATGCCTCACTTTATATTTTGTCAGAGTTTTGGCTTTTTATCCATATTATTTCTTATGTTAAATGCCATCAATGTGTTGCAGCGATATGTCTAGTTTGTAGGTATAATATTTTATATTTGGAGAGTTTGGAAGTGAGGGGAGTGTGTTCTTAACCAAGGAGGAGTGCAGCAGACACCAGTGGATAATGGCACCAGTCACTCCATGCTTTCCACCATGGAAACCATAATCCACACTGCTGGAGTTAAAGCCTGGATTATAATTCACACATGTGTAGGAAGAACAAATTCCAAACAAGCAAACTGCTCTAATTCTGACATCTTTTCTTAACTTTTGAGTGCTTAACCTTGTGACTTTAATGTATTTTTGGAGAAGGCTTTGCAGGTTGGTTTAGTTCATGGTACACAGTAATAAAACCTCATTATTTTCAGTTTAAAACCTCAGTATAGTCACTTCAGTAAGTTCCTGTAAAGCACTGCTTTGTCTGTCTCCTGGATGAATTCTGCATTTGTAGAGACATGATAGGGGCTGGTTTTACTTTCCTTTGCTTTTACAAAATGTTTATTCCAATAATTTATTCCAACTGTGGAATGCATTTAATCCACACCATCATTAAACCATTTTAGATGAGCTGTGCTTTTGAAAACATACTACAATTTTCCTTCACTTGGCTTTTAATGAAAAATACCTTTTTAATAAAGCTGTCTCACCACAGTAATTCGAGACAGTGGCAATTCTGAAATTCCTCAAGCTGCTTTAATCAATAAAGTTATCACCAGTCATTTCCCTTGATAACTGCTTCTTACTGAGACCCTGACTTTGCCTTCTGCTGCTGAGATGTTTTCAGCCTGCACTTAGAATAAGAGGAACTCCCTAAAGTCCAATTTTCATTTTAACCTTTCCTCAATGGCCTAGAAATAACAGATTGCCAGTATTACTTTAATAGATTGGAAATTTAAACCTCTTAGATGTAACCAGAGCTATCTTACAATTCAGTGCTATGACAAAGAATAACACATCTTAAAGGTTACTGAAATGTCTAATTCACGTGTTTTAAGGCAGCTGTTAACAGTGGATGATTTTTACAGCTTTACAATAAAACCTAAATAATGTTAAGGTTCTGGTAGTTTTATATAATCATAAAAAGTTCTCTCTGTAGCAAATTATCCTTCTTTAATGGGAGTTATGGCAGGTCATACTGGAGTCCATAAACCACTGGTAGTTAAACAATTCCCTTTCCTGCCACCTGCAAGCCTCAGGTGGGAGTTAGTGGTGCATGAGAGCAGAGAGAGGTCACCCAGGGGTGGCACAGGGGACCTGCTCCTGGGCCAGTGTCCCCTCCTTGCCCACCAGCTACAACAGATCTTCCATCCCAAAATAAAACTTTCTGGCCCTGCACATTTGGAGTTCCTAAGGTAGAAACAAAATTAACAGTGATGTGGTATCCTGGGGCCTGGGATATTATTCCTTGGGTGAGGGAGGACAGGGAGAAAAGTAAACGTGTTGTGTTTCTTGTGTAAAGTGATTTAATAAGTCGAGGTTTGGTGTATAAGCTTTACTTCCTTATGGTCCTGCCACATTTAACTTGATGAAGGTTATTAAATCTATAGCAAGAAATTTGTTCAGGCATGAGTATGTCTGATTCTAGAAGTATTCTCTATGCTAAATATTCTAGTGGGGTTAGCACACTTTTTAGTTAATTTGTAGCCAATCTAAAAAAAAAAAGTAACTTTTGCAGAAGGATTGAACAGATTAGTGGTGTGATCCCTGTGTAAAATGTGACCAGGAATGGAGATCTTTTAATTCCTGCTTTCAGTGGCTATGTGACCTTTCAGTTTTATATCTTTCTCTCTCTTCTTACCATATTGCAGTCAGAGAGGAAGTTAAACCCAGGTTTGACAGGTAGAGTTTTTTTTATTTCCCTTGACAGCGCACCTTTTGACCTCTATCTTCTTGCCAATGATTTTTTTTAAATCCTAAATGATTTTGGAATAATTGCTCCTCCTTTAGTGATTATTGCCCTTCACTGATAGTAAATCTGTGAAATCCCTGGGGCCTGGAGCACATTTTTGTATGCGTGTGCCACAAGCTGGCCTGGACAGGCATCGCTGCTCAGCTGCAGCTGCACTTCCAGAGCTGCCAGAGTCTTGCAGGAAAACTTCCCTGGATGAGGTAAAATTCAGCCCTGGCAAGCAGCAGAGTGCTTGGTTGGAGAGGCTGCCCTGCTCTGCCCTTTTCCTTTGTCAGAGGAAATTCTTTTTAGGGTTATTAGGACACAGGACTGAAATTGTCTTTACATCCCGAATGTTGGGATTTGGGCTGAGCAAGGGCATGCAGGTGGTGCAGGTCTGTTCCCTCTCATCCTCAGGGAGGTGTTGGAAGGACTTTTGTAAGAAAAAAAATATAATTTCTTAAAGCCAATGGTTGAGAGTGATTAAATATCCTGCAGCAGCTTGGGGGGAATTGGTAATGGTGCTTGACTGGGGACGGTTTTGCCAGGTTCTTGCAGCTCTCCATGCAACAGTGGGGTTATTCTCTTTTCCTTATCCACATTTACATGCTTCATTTCCTAATTACTTAAATCTAACCCATCATTTTCTCCCCATTTCATGCTGAGTTGCTGGTTTGGAAGAGCACTAAGGAAAGGTGAACTATCTACAGGAGAAGCTGTCCCAGATTTACATGTTTGTAGCTCACTTTGGTTTACGAAACCTCTCAGAAAATTTAGGTTTATCCTGAGATTTCTTTTACATGCAATATAGTATGTGGGAGAAGATCCTGTTGCAATTAGATAATTCATAAAAATAGCTCTGGAGGTTTAGTATTTTTATTCTTTCTCAAGCAAAACAGAGCTGGGGAAGGGATGAAAATTCAGGCAGGAATGTCTAGAGCTGGGAAGTACCATGGTTGTGAAAGCCAGGCAGTTAAATTTATGAAGTTGATTTAAAAGATGAAAATAAAATAGTTAAAGATGCAGCTAATGCTGTATTAGACAAAAATTCAACTTTAATACAAAAGGTAAAAAAAATCTGATTGATAAACCACATTAGACTTTCAAACCTGAGCTCCCCCAGTTTTAGGTGCTGCCTCTGTTCTCTGCAGAATAATCCAGAGCACCTTTGGGAGGTGTAAAGCTGATTTTTTGGATCATTAATGGAAAACTGCTGTTTTGTGTATATAATGGGTTTTGTTGAAACTATAAAATGCCGTTCCCCCAATAATTTTAAATTTGAAGAATAGCATAAATACAGTAATTTTTAACACAGGATGATAAGCACTTGAAATTTTGGTGATGTGATTGTCAACAGAAAGGATCCCTTGGCTGATGCACTCTGATCTAATAAATATCTTTAACAGAGGCAGAAAGGTGTTCTGTGCACTCTTTTTATCAAGCACCAGACAAATCTTAGCACAACCAGTTACTTTTTTGCTAATCTACTCACTTTTGTTTATTAATATTGGCATATGCTTAAACTGATGGTAAGACAAACAGTGCTAGGCCTGTACACATTGTGTCATACTGTGCAAAAATTAATAAATTCCATTTTACAGTGACTTCCTAAATTTCTGTATCAACCTGGGAACACGTTGGGGATCAAGCTCTCAGTGATTACAGGCTTAAGCTTTTGACCAGCCTGTAGAACACCAGATTTAAGAAGTTAAGCTTAATTTAAGCTGCTTGGAGCGTAGCAGGAATGGATTGTTAGGAAAAGAAGAGGCCTAACTTCATAAAACTCACCATTTTCTTTCAGCTGTGCCCCAAATCCCTTTGATTTCTGTGATTGATTACAAATTGTACAGGTGTGTGCTGTGCCAGTGCACTGCTGGAGGAGCTCTGGCATGAATTACCCTCAGCGCAGGATGACTTTTAATCAATACCATGACAATATTCTCGTGTTTAATTTGTCCAGTGGCAGCATTAGACCTCAAATCAAGCTGTTTGTTATGTCAGGGGAGGGTGACAAATGGCAGAAATGAACTTTGGCTGTATTTCACTGCCCTGACAGGCCATCATGATCGGGGATGACATCGTGAATGATGTCGGGGGAGCGCAGCAGTGCGGGATGAGAGCGCTGCAGGTGCGGACGGGCAAGTACAGGTCAGTGCTCCCCCTGCACATCCAGGTCACAGCCACCAGGCCAGGCTTTTCCATGCCTTTTCCCCACCCTTTCCCCTTGCTGTCAATGTAGGTTTGCATTTGTTGTCCACCCAAGCACTTCCTTGTGCAGCACAGACTCGGGTGGATGGTGATATTTTCTTTTAGGAAAACACTGTGTGAAAATAGCAGGAAGGAGAGGACAGAGTATCTTTGATCCTTGAAGAAATACTTTCTGCTAAATTCCTGCTCTATTTTTTTTCATCACACCACATAGAACTGGTGTATTTCCTGGGGTTTGCTTATTTTTTTCCTGCTTCTGCATGAAAGTGTTGTACACTTGATACAAGACGTGTCTGAAACCTTTGGCAGGGTTGAGATTATAAAATTAGATTGTTGACTCAGCCATCCCTGTGGGTCATCTCTCACAACTTTAGGAAGGTCACCATATGTCTGCCCTTCCATCCAGACATATATTCAGCCCTGAGGTGTCTGAAACACAAGAGCTGCTTCCCCAGCTCTCACCTTCCCAGAGTGCAGGGTCCTGTAGGGTCACTCATGGCTCCAAATGCAAACCCTTCTTTGTGCAGCTGTCCCCAGGACCCTGTGCTCTCACTGAGCTGTCACAGGGCCAGCTGCTGAGGGGGACACAGAGTGCACCTCTAAACAGGACATGACCCAGTGCTCAGCAGGTTGGGTTTGAGGTCAGCTCAAGGTGACTTCAAATGCAGTGCAGAGATCTGTCCCTCCATTTGACATTCTGATCCCAACATCCAAAATCTCATTTTAACCCTCTCCCCTTACCCAGAACCATGCCACCTTGTAGTATGGTTCAGCCACACCCTTTGTCATCTGATGTCATTTGTATTGTCACAGTTTTTCTTCACTTTCAAATCCTGAGACTCTAAAAGAAAGATGCCCCTTTGGGGAGCGAATGCAGCACATGAAAATTATGCTTGCCATAAACTATCTGAAAAGTTATTTTGCTTGTTTTCAAGTCAATCTGTTCCTAAATTTTCCTTTCTAGTTTGTGTGAGGTGATAAAATAATACCCTGTGCCTTAATTCTAATGGACCAGTAGGTGATGGTTTCTGAGGAAAAAAAAGATACTGTGTTTTCTATAACTTTAAGATAGTACATCTAAAAATTAAATATGCATCTGATTAAAGCTTGGGAAATCCCAAAGATTAAAAAAGAAATTATATAGTCTGTGCTTTTAGGATTATTTGTCTGTAATCCCAGGAGCTGGACTTGATGATCCATGCAGATCCCTTCCAATTCAGGACTTTTGTGACTCTAATCCCATTAGGTTCCTAATGGAGAAAATAGGGATTCAGTGGTTGATTTTATTCTCGTATTAATGGGATCACTTTGCAAATCCACATTTTGTTGCTACAGAGATACAGGTGGCAGTGAAGAATGTGTCTTTGCACACAGAGGTGAATTAGGTTTTTGTTGCTGCTGACCAGAACTCTCCTGTCCCATGCTTTACCCATCATAAAATGCGCCCCAGGTGATGTTGCATCCACACTGCTCAAACAGCTGGCACAAATTCCATGTACACAAACACACATAAATATGTATAATCACATGCTAGAAAGGCATTTTCTTGTGTCAAGTTTGAGTCATGAATTCACAGCTGAAAGGGAGTAGCCAGCTGTCCTAGATGGGGAACAAAGATTGTGTTTCCCGTTTCAGTGTGTGGCTGGTGCTTTCTCAACTCAGGCACTATTGCAGAGCAGTGAAACAGAGATGAGTGTCTCTCTCAATTCCCCATCTGTCAGCAGCTGGGAGTAAAATGAAGTAACTCCTCTTTGCCAGGAGAGGTCAGAGGTGTATCTGTATTTTAAAGAATGACTTCTTTAGTATACTCAGAAAATCAAGGCCCATGGTAAGGAGAGACAGAAAATAAACAAGCAATGGGCAGGATAAGTTGAAAATAAACAAAATTCAATTATTTGGTGGTGAGGTTAGTTTAAAATCTGATAGATAAGATACACAAAGGTGCTGTTTTTGCCTTTAGCCTTTGATGACACAGAGTTCTGTGCTGCACCCGAGAACCTGTGGATGGCATCATTGGCTCGTGTGTCACTGTCAGCCACAGCCTGGGGCTTCCCCAGCATCCTGGGCTGTTTGTCCAAGAGTCTTGCAAAGCACAAAGCTCTCAGGGTTTTACTGCAGATGTGGGGGGATTACCCCAGGTTTCAATAACAGCACCACTGAATGGTTTGGGTTGGGGTTGTCCCCCTCCTTCCTCACCAGAGGATGTCCCCAGCTGGCATTGTCACCTCCAGTGCACAAAGGTGCTGGGGCAGCTTGCAGCTCTCCTGCTTTCAGGGCTCAATGCAGTTTACACAAACATTTTAGGGAAAGGTTCTTCCCCCAGAGGGTGCTGGGCACTGCCCAGGCCCCTCAGGGAATGGGCACAGCCCTGAGGCTGCCAGAGCTCCAGGAGGGTTTGGACAGTGCTTTCAGGGACAAGGTGGGATTGTTGGGGTGTCTGTGCAGAGCCAGGAGCTGGGCTGATGATCCCTGTGGGACCTTCCAGCTCAGGATACTCTGATTCTACAGTTCTGTGGTTTTTAAGGTCTGCTGCCCACCCAGTGCCCCCCCAGGTTATGCAGGGATGTGCCCTGGGGCTGCCACTTTCCCAGGCTCTCACCCTCCTGCAAAGTCTCTCCACTGTTGCCTGCTCCCAGCATGAGGTTCAAAATATGGATTAAACTTTCAGTTTTGCACCACCTTGCATGGAGTCCTGCAAGTTGGCTCCTTTGTCTTGCTTCTTTTGGATCTTTAAAATCAATTAAAATCTGTGCAGCCTGTTTCCTTCAGTATGACACACTTTGCCTCTTCCCCCTCCATCTCAAGTGTTGAACTCTTCCCCAGTAGCCAAAGCAGGCATGGCATAGATCAGTCCAAGAAAAGCCATAAATCCTCTTTGCAGCATGGGCTAAAACTTCTGCTGGCACAGATCAGGGCCAAAGTTGGGAAGGTGAGGGGATAAGTTTGGTGTCTTGGGGTGACCTGACACAGGGTGAAGAGCTTTGGCCAAGTCTAGCCTTGCCTAGGTGCAAATTCCAGATGCAAAGGGTCAGTCTGGGCTGCAGGTTTCTCCTCTCTGTTTGTCCCATGTCCAGGACAGATCAGGCCATTGCTGCAGGCTCCTGAGGGCTGGGAGATTTATCAGCATTGGAAAATGTGATGCCAGTTCCAGAATTTCTGTGCACACCTGGCCAACATCTTTCCCATCTAGGGAAGAATGTGTTCTTGTCTTCCAGCTCAGGGTATGTGCTAATTCCACTTCCAGCTAATTGGCCTTGACATCAAACCAATGATTCCCACAATAACTATTGATTCTGCAATGCTGTGTAATATCCTCATTCCTTTTTGTAGCCTGCAAGTTAGAGCAGGGAAAAATGACTTTGAGGCTTTTCCAAGTGTCTCCCTGTACCTCTGGAAACAGCTTCCAGGTGCATCAGATTGCAGCTGGATCTTGGCAGGGGGCAAGAATTGCTTCCCCTTTTCTCCTTGTTGTTATTTACAGGTCTTGATTTGTAAATAATGAACTTTCCATTGCTGGTGTGTGGCAGCAGCCAGGAATATTTATGGCAGTGCTGCCCACTGCCCCTGCTCACCTGTGAGCTCCGGGCTGGCTTTGGAATGTGGCAGTGTGGATTCATCCCCTCTCAGTGCCCACCTGGGGTTTCCTTGCTTTGATTTGGGATTTATCTGATGGCCATGGCTGATACTGACAGCAGAGTCAACATCCCTGAGCTGCCTCATTACAGACATCAAGGATTCCCCAGGGATGGAGGCCCTGAGAGCTGCCAGCTCCGCCACTCTTCTCCAGAACTGGGTCAAGTTACTTCATGTGTCCCTACTTTTTAATTATCCTCTGAGAATAATTACCCTGACTTCCTTAATAAAGTGGCTTGTGATCTGTTCCTCTTGCCTGATTAAAGAAAAACACACAGAATTTGTAGTAAATTGGCTTTCCAGGAGAGAAATCAAAACGTGACTATTACAAAAGTTGGGACAGAGAAGTCTTTTAGGCTGGCTAAGGATTGGGAAAAACAGATTGTGTCATTAAATGAAGTTGTGAAAGTATTCTTAAAAAGCATTCCACACGTGGATAAATTCACTGCTGTCACTGTGTAATTCAGTGAAACTCATGACAACTTCTGTGAAGGAATAGTCACCTCTTGCTGCTCTGCAGGGAAGGAGCATCCCTCCACCCTCCCTTTCTTGCTCCCTGTGTTACCATCCCTGCCAAGATGAACAATTTTATGAGTTTTTTCCCATCTCCTGGGTACCAGCAGTGTGAAAATGAGAACAAGCAGGCAGAGGCACTCCCTTTGTGCAGAAACACAACCAGAGGCATTCTGAGGGCCTCACATCCTGATAATGAAGCCTGTTTCAAGTATTAAGTGGAAAGAGTTCCAACCCATATTTGCACTGGGCAAAGTTGTATTATAATTCATGTTGGTTAATGTCTTAAGCAATGTTTATTGAAGCTGGTGTCAGTGAGTTGGTTGTGATAGCTGATAGCAGGCAGGCCCAAGGCATAGCCTCATCACCCTTTATTGCACATTCAAATTATGGTTTGCTCTGTCCATGAGAGGATATTCACATGTTTTTATCAATTTCTGGACCACAATTTGGTTGCCATAATATTTGAATCAGCTTTGTAGAGGAAGCTCAGAGTAAATCCTGCAGTGCCTTAGCTTGCACATCTGATCACAGCCTTCCACCTTCCCAGTACATTCCAGTGTCCAGACACAGAAATTACTAACTCATGCATGAATTTAATTATCTTCAGTCTAAAAGAGAAGTGTGAGTTTGAGGGGGGTTTATTAGCAAGTTATTTATTTATTGGTAGCATAATAAACCTTGAGGGAGCAGTGTGTGCTCAGGACACAGCCATGCTGTGTGCTCATGTGCTGCTCTGAAAAAAATTAGCCTGAATATCAGAAAAGAGATCAATCTGCAATGAGAGTAGGCTA